CCAAGGGCAGACCCAGTTGACCGAGGGCCTCCTGGCTCCGGGCCCGGGTGCGCTTTAAGCACCAGGCAAGCAGAGAGGGCCTGAGCAGGAAGGGACAGCCCTGGAGACCCGGCCTGGGTGGGAACCTTGTCCTGACAAGCCAATCGAGGAGCAGAAGAGCACCACAGTGTGGGGTCAGGGTCTATGGGACAAGCTGCTCAGGGCCAGCAGTGACAACCTCACCAAGAAGTCTGTGTGACTGAGAACCAGTGAGAACCCCAAAGGTCACCTGAGAAGGCTCCACTGGGCCAAGGTGGGGTGTGGAGACACGGTCCTGAGGCAGGGGAGCCAGGGAGCTGCAGGGAAACCAGGCAGGCAGTTCTCGGGGGCCCTGGACAGCACATGATAAACCTCCCAGATGGAACAAACGATGTCGTCTCACCAGAAACAGTCTCATAAACTTTCAGCAAGGGACTTTTCAGCTTTATCAGCCATACAGCTGGCTTTGGTGTATTTTATAGGACTATTATTACATCACAGCTGTCATACAAACTGCACCTCTATGGAGAACCCTCAGGCAGCATCTTCCAAAGCTGAGCCTGGCTGTGGCCCAGCCTTTCCACTCCCACCTCTGCATGCTGCATGGATGCATCCGTGTGCTCACCAAAAAGACACATTCTAGAATGTTCCTCGCAGCACGACTCATAATAACCCCAAATGGTTATATATATATATATATATATATATAAATCCTCTTTAATAGAATAATAAATTGTGGTCATCACACAGTAATGAGAACGAACCATCTACAACCACATGCCATAAATATGGGGCAAATCTCTAAACAACACCAGTGAAAGAAACAAAACACATGAGTTAATCTAAGTACTGCTCATGCCAGGCAAACCAGTCTACAGAACTAGGAATCAGCAGAGGGTCTCCCAGGGGCAGAGACACGGGGGCCTCTGAAGTGCACAAGTTCTTTTCAATAGTATAGTCACCTTAATAAAAACTTGTTTTAAATGGCCCTGATTTTAAAAGAATTAAAAGTATATATAACAGGAGTTTTTATCAATAACATAGAAAACGATATTTAAATGTTGCACTATTGTGGGGTCTACCACAATGGCCTGAGCACTGGGGACCTGTGCCTCCAGGGCACCTGCCCATGCACTCTCCTACCACCCTGCTGTGTTGCCATGTGCTCAAGACAGATGAGGAAGGCACCCTCTATTTCATGTTCTCCCTGGCCCCATAACAGCCAGTGTGTCAGCAGGTCCATGGGTCCTACTTTAATCATGTCCTTCCCCATGTGACTGCCTCCTCTCTCAGCTGAGCCTCATCAGCTCTCCTGGGCCACCTGAACTGAACTGTCTCTGAACTGGTCACCCTGGTTGCTCCCTAGCCCCTGGCCACCTGCCTCCTGCCACTCCATTCTCCACACTGCAGTCAGGGAGAGTTATTTATAGTTTTAATTTAATGCTTTGAATGGGAAATACATTTGTTTCATTTTTTAAAAAACCCTTTAATCCAGTAAGACCCAAGTTTTCAATTCTGGGATATTTCAATAAAATTGACGCAGAGGCATTAAATTAGGCAGAAATCATAATCTAAAGTTTATATATACTTTATATATTTCACATGTGTATTTTTAAACACTCTAATAATTCACTTACTACTCCAAAAACACAGTATTTATTTCAAAAGTTACAAGTGGCTTATTTGTTGCTCAATCTAAGTTTTCAGGTCTGATATCCAGGACAATGGCACTTAACAGGTTACAAATATGCTATACAAAGTCTACAATGAACTTTCTCCCAGCCTCCCTCCCAGCGACCAATCCTCCTGGCTTGTCCCCCCAGCTCTTCATCACACTTGGAGTGGCATGTGTCCTTCTGAGGCAGAAGAAATAAGAAAAAGATCGAAAGGAAACATAAACAAGAACAAGGAGATGTTATTTTAATCTGAGGCTCCATACAACTTTCCAGGCCTGTCACTCCCCAAGCCACTCTCCCCCAGGCCTGTCACTCCTAAAGTTCTGGGAAATCTATAAATCTTGGAATTATTGTAAATTCTATTATCTACCAATAAACAGATTAAACAAAGGGAAATAATGGTATTTTAAGAAACCAACAATTTAAGGGAAGTTTCCAGAGTAGTCCATTGATCAGATAATGAGACCACACGCAGTCTAAGGATCCCAAAAATGACCAGACCACATAAGTCATCATAAGTCATCTCATGACCACCAGACTGAAGTCATACCTTCCTGTACCCACCCCTCACCAAGCTTCCTTTAAAACAGGAGCTGGGTCCCCCCAAGTGCATCTCCCACTCAAGGTGGCTTACATTCTCCCCTGAATTTGCATTCCTTGCTTTCGTAAATAAATCTCTGTGCCTGTGACACATGCTGAAATTCTTTTCCTTCATGTCAAGGACTGCACTTGTCCTGAGTCGAGATCCCCCATTCTCTGTGAACTCTTTGGGACTCCTTCCAGTGACACTTGCAGAGTCTTTTTGCAAACATGGCAGTAGGAATACATTATTGCATCTCTGCCTTTTACACCCAAAGGTGGGTGACTGTGCAGCCTGCTATCTTTACCAAAGGTGGCTACAGGGAGGGAAGCCCACTCCTTAGGCTGCTAGTGTTCCACGTGCAGATGGGAGGCGAGGCTCTGCAGCTGACACATTTGAAGAGAATTCACTCTTGCTATTTCAAAAGGCACTGCTACAAATGACCTTGTCCTTGTCACTTCTCGTGTGAGGCAGGGCAAACCCCAGGAGTGGACTGATGTGCCAAACGGACCTTCCAGTAGCACAGGATGGCAGGGTCTGTTTCCACAAACTCTCACCAAGAGAACTTGTGCAGAGCCATTCTCACACGTGACTGGGCGACTCCCGGTTTGGGTGTGAGGCGTTCTGGCTGTGTTGGGGCGTTCTGGCTGTGTTGGAGCTTTCCCGGCCCTCTCCTGATGAGAGAACCCGTCCGTGTGGAGGTGTGACTGACCACGGACCCCGGGGGCCAATCAGTGACCCTGAGATTGGAGTGCGGCCCCCCTCAACCTTCATTGGATGGAATTCTCCCCTGAATTTCTTGTTCTCCAATAAAAGGCTACTCCCTGGCGTGCTCGCTCTCTCTCTCTCCTGCTAGCCCTGAGTAATCCTTGCTGCCCTACTGGTGGTTCGAGGTGGGAGCCAGAGAGGGGGGCTGTCTCAGACCTGGTCATAGAAAAAGGTAACAGAGTCTGTGTGTTTTATTTCGATCTCTGCTAGCTAACTTTTATGCCAAGAACCTCATTAATGAAACCAGTGCGCTGGCCGCATAGTGGAAGAACTCATTCTCAAACTTCTTGATTTTTGACAATTTTGTCAAGTTGATTAAAAAAAATGGCATCTTGGTGTCATTTTAATTTGCATTTCTCTGAGTAGGCTAAGCATCCTTCATAGGTTTGCAGAGCAACCTGTGCTTCCTCTCTTGGGAGCTGTTATGTCCTCTGGCTATGTTTCTATTGGGCTGCTGATTTTTTGTTGTAGATTTGAGGCACAGAAATAAAGGCTCCTTTCACTCCCTGTTTTCATTGCACATATAAGCTTTCACCTTTTACATTTAAATTTCTTTCAAACATAAATTGGATCATGTTAGTCTGCATAAAACGACCCTCAGGATGCAGCATGACATGCTTCCCAGCCTCAAGCCCCTGCCACTCCTTGAGCCCAGCATGTTCTCTGCCTCAGGCCTTGAGGCTGCTGCTGCTGCTTCTGCTTGTCCCTCGGGTTCAGCTCAAAACCTCTCCTCAGAGACATCCTGGCCTCCTGTCTAGCACAGCCACCTTCCCCTGTCGTACTACTCTCCCAGGTCCCCCTCTTCACATCACTTACACCAATCTTTGGAGACGGAGTCTACTGAGCTGTATGCAGACACTGATGACCCTGAGCCCCGGCTGCCTCAGTCCCAGCACTGAGGCTCTGGCCTCCTGCTCCCCCACACAAGGCCTCCTCACTCTAAAACACAGCCCTTGCCCTCTGCTCCATTTCTACAGTCCCCACCCTCACGATGCTCTCGCCTGTGACAGAGCTAGTCTGAAGCTCTGGGTTCGGGAGAATAAAGCGGAAGCCAGGAAAGCAGCTCCCCCTGGACTTCCAACCACACAGAGCCTTCCCTGTTGCCCGTGTCTCCTAGGTCTGAGCTGCCCTTACATGCACTCCCTCTCCCCCATTCCCAGTACCCAAACACCGTCCACCTCACTGGGCAGCACAGTTTGGGCCCTTGTTATCTCCGCAGCTCCCACACATACAGATGGATAGGGTGAGGTCTCTGAGAAGAACCAAGAGGTTCACTTTACTGCCATCTACAGGGTGGTAAACTGAGTCCCAGTGGGATCAAGCCACCAAGTCAGGGTGTCCTAGCTAAGTGACTCTGGAAGGCTAAGTTCTGGGCAAAGTGCCCTTCCCAACCGCTCATTAACATCACAGCAGTGCTGTCCAGGGGCACCATGGGAAACTCTAAAGCCCAGGCTGGGTAGTGCCAACCATGGTACTGGCAGTGCCCTCTACGGGCAAGGCTGGATGGGCCAAATGGCCCCCTCCTCCTCTCCTGTAAACCATTTGGTCCGACACAATTGCATGGTTAGACGAATATGTAAACTTTTCTAGTAAAACGTCAAGAGAAACGGGTGGAATTCATTTCACACGCTTATGCTAACATAGTCATATTACTGTCATTCCAACACGTAATCACCATAAAACAATACTAATGAGCTACTTTACATTTCTCTAAACCTTGGAAACCCAGAAAGTACTGTATTTTACACTCATATCACATCTCAGTGCAGACTAGCCTCAGTCCAACCCGCTGGGCAGCCACTTGCAGGGTTGGACAGCGCAGCTCTAACTTGCCAGGCACAGCGCGGGGCGGGGCCAGCGCGGGGCGGGGCCAGCAGGCAGCCCCGCCCCCGCTGGGGGTCTCCAGCGCCCACGGACCGCAGGGCGGGTACCCGCCTGCCAGACACCGGCCCACTCACCTCGCCACCGCCTCCACCGAGCCGGCGATCGGGACGCCGCCGCCCTCGCCGCTGTCGTACAGCACCCCCGAGATGTCGAGCAGCACCCCGCGCACACCAGCCAGCCGATCACCCCACGCGGCCATTGCACCCCGAGTGCGCCCGGACCCCACCCCCCGTCCCAACCGGCCGCAGAGCCCGGCCCCGCCCTCCGCGCAAGGGCGCTTGGGACTTGTAGTCCGGGGCGGGCACGGGCCCGAGCGGGCGGGGCTGGTGGCGCGGGCGCGCCTCCCGCGCTCCCGGGAGCAGGTCTTTCCCTGACTCTGAGCAGATCCAGCGGGAGCAAGTCCCTCGGAAAGTAAACCTCCCTAAAACTCCGGGCACGGCAGACTGAGTCGATGTGAAGGTACCTGTGAAAAGAACGAAAGTGAAAGAAAACTGGCTGTACCCGCCGCTCGCTGGTGTTCTCATCCTTCCGGGGCCGAGTGACAGCCCTACCGGCAGCCAGTGGCGCACCTGTTGATTGACAGTCCTGTGCCTGGGAACCTGTGCTCTGGAAATGAGTCCAAAAGCCATGATTGCGGTGTAAGGACAAGCTGGAAGAAAATTAAATGTTTAAGAATAGGGATTGTTCAAAAATGGATAAGATGGGTACTGAAAGAAATATGATGTTATCAGAAATGGAGACAGGTATCGACCATGGAAAATACTCATGTGCTAATATATAGGGAAAAGTAAAACACAATATTGTAGGTAGACAACAGTCCTGCAAAAATGAGCATTACAGGAATAGGACACGGAAGAAAATGGCAGTATCCCAATGTGTTAGGTCAATGAGTTTCGGGACGAATTAAAAATTACATTTACTATTACCTTATTTTTCAACAAGTAAACACTGATATAAAAGGGAAGGTTTCACCCCGCCAGCCTCAGCAACTTAGCAAGGCTGTGTCACAAAATAAAAAAGTAAAAAAAGGCTGGTGATGTAGCTCAGTGGCAAAGTGTCCCTCCTTTAAATCCCCAGTACCAAAAATAAATAAAAGGGATGGCTTCTTTGGAAGCCCTTTTGAAGTAATCGATTAAATTAAAGAGAGAAAATCTGACTTCTGGTATGATTTAGCTTTGAGGTTTAAAGGGATAGGGACTATATTATTCTATCACTTCATTTCAGGCTCTTGTTTCATAGGAAGAATGAAGAATTCATCAAAATGGGGCTGGGGTTGTAGCTCAGCGGTAGATTGCTCACCAGCATAACGTGGGAGGCCCTGGGTTCGACCCTCAGCACCACATAAAAATAAATATAATTGTGTCCATCTACAACTAGAAAATTATATATATATAATATAAAGAATTCAAGTTGGGAGTTCATAACCACTTGAATCAAACTGTGAAAGATGATGTATTAAGAACTGTGTAATGTTTTGAACGACCAACAATAAAAAAAAAAGAATTCATCAAATGAAAATTATATATATATATATATATATATATAAAGAATTCATCAAAATGTCAAAATTTTAACACAGTCCAGTGAATTGTGCATATTCTGTTGATAATCTTCTTGGAGAAGCTACTTGAAGCTGTTTGCCAGAGAAATATAAAACGTAGTTCCTATCCTTAGGAGATTTACAATGCCAGAGAGTAGTAATATACAGTATGTAAAGGTCCTTAGTTGCAGACAGTAGAAACTGCTCCAGCTCAAGGGGTTTATGCAGGGTGTGAAAGAGCATGAAGATGTCCAGAGGGGTTGGAGAACCAAGTTCAAGTACTAAATGGCCAGAAGCCATGCATCTATGACAAATGCCTAATGGCACTGCCCCACTCCTTGGCTTCTAAGATGCCAGGAACTTAATGGTACAGCCCCCAGCAAAACTGTGGCAGAAAAGCCAAACACATCCAACATTTCCCCTCAGAAGATTCTTTCCTCCTGTGGCCACCACCTCACTTTCACTGTGTCTGGTTTAATGGAATCTAGTCCAACCAGCCAGGGAATCTGGGAAATGCAGTTTTTAGTCTTGCAGACTGCAGGATAGGAGCTGAGTCAGTCTGAAGAATCTGCCATAAACATCAGGAAACATATGCATGTTAAGCCTCTGCTCTGGGCAGTGGACTCCAGGCGTGCAAAATGGTCAACATTTGATCTTTACCTTCAGAAGTCAAGATTGAGCAGAAGACTGCTGATCCAGTGTGTGCTGTGTGCCAAGGAGTGTACAGATTCAGCCAAGAAGGTAGTCTCTGCAGGCTAAGGAGGGCAGCAGTGGCTTTTGAGCACATGGGCAGCCTGAAATGGACATTTAAGGGGTGCTTCTGGCAGTAGTGTGAGCCTATACGAATTTCTCTTTTCAACAAGTTCTGTGTGACCTTGGGTAACTCACTTTCCATCTCTAGGACAGTGGTAGACAGAATAGTGTCCCCTTGAGATATCCACATCCTAGTCCCCAGAACCAGTAAGTGTGTTCTCTTAACATGACAAAAAGGGTCTTTGCAGATGTGATTATGTGTGAGAGCTAGTGGGGAAATGATCCAAGTGGGCCCAGCATAATCATAGGAGTCCTTTTTATGGAAGGAGGGAGGCAAGGGAAAGTCAGAGGAGATGTGTCAACAGAAGCAGAGTCGAGAGAGAGATTTGAAAATTCTAGCATTGATTAAGAAGGACCATGAGCCAGGAAAGACAGATGACCTCCAGAAGCTGGGGAAGGCAAAGAAATGGCTTCTCCCCACAACCTCTAGAAAGAAATGTGACCCTTCTTGCACCTTGACTTTAGGACTTCTGGCCTCCAGGACTGTAAGATAATAAATCTGTCATTTGGAGCCACTAAATTGGTGGTATTTGTTACAGCAATGATAGGGAATAAATATAAAACCCTATTTCCCTCACCTGAAAAATGATACATTGGTCCAAGGTGGCAAGTGTCTAAGTGTGCAACAGTTGAGCTGAGACCTGATCCAGAAATCCAAGACATTTCTATAGATGTCATGGGCAATGGTTCTTCTCCAGGGTAGGGTCACATTTGGTTATACATGACCAAAACCCAATTCTGGTAGCTCAGCCAAATACGATTTTTTCCTCACATGTCATAAATCTAGGAGGAAGGTAACCCTGAGGGGTTCCTCAGCTCCCGAGACCAGCAGGCAGTAGGCTGCTTCCATCTCTCGGCACCATCACACTTACATAAGATTTTGAGGCCTGAAGATGCCTGCTGTACCCCCTGGCATCACTTCTAGTTTTCAGGCAGGAAGGTCCAGAAGAAGGAAAATAAAACTGCACACAGAATCCTAATCTGATGGATTCTTTGTTGCATCTTTGGTGCCAGAGCTCATCAAATAGCACATTTACACTATAATGTGCAGGGTGCACACTTCACCAACAGAGCTTTGGGCCTATTGCATTTGCAATGACAACTCTACAGATCACATCTGAATTTCAGCTCAAACATGAATCCATCAGTTCTCTATGCTGTAGTCAAGGTATGTATAGCCCTTTTATATTCATTTTTATTAGTCAACACTTTAGTTGTCAGTGACAGAAACCAAACTCCACATGGCTTAAATTTAAAAGGAATATTTTGTCTCATAAAATAGGATAGTCTAGCAATTGAAGGTTTCAGACATGGCTGGTTACCAGCTCTGGGGTAGCCGAGTCCCAGGTAAACCACCTGGAGAAGAACTTTCTCCTCAAGTTGGTATGACAGTTCCAGAACGAACTTTAAGTGGCTCCCTTAGGTCGGTGCCTCTATTCCCTGTGACTGTGTTCAGAGGAAAGTGGTATTGCTAGGATCCAGCCCGACTCCTATGCCTCATCAGGGCTGGAGCTAGGGCACCTTTGTACAGTCCCATCATGGCCACATGGAATGGCAGGGGGAAGCCCCCCACCATAGTGTTACAGGGCACTGTATCAAGAGTGAGAAGGACGCAATCATGTTTGGGCAGAAGGAACCGGTGCCTACCACCCACAGGGGCCCTGGAAAGTGAAGCCAAGCCAGGAGAGGTCCATGTGGGCCAAAGGTCTCCTGTCTTACTGAGATGGGCTAGGCAGGGGGGAAATTTGGAAAACCATTGAAAAGTGCTTCTCAATCAGTCACCTGGAGATTGAGAACACAGGCTTGAATTTGGGAGGTTGGGGACGGCCCTGGGAGTCCTACACATGGCCTCTAGCATGTCTTGAGTATCTCACAGCATAATAGCCAGAGTCTAAGAGGAAATGTCTGAAGAGCCATGGTACCAGGGAACAAGATGGAGGCTGCAGGCTTCTTGTGACCTTGCCTGAGAAGTCAGAGAGTCACATGAGCCACGTTTTACCGGGTACTGAGGGGCAGGCCAGATTCATCATGGACATGAACTACACAGGGTGTTCACACGGAGCAGTGTGGCTTACTCAGGGAGTCTTCTTTGGAGAACAGATACTACTACATATTTCTACAAGAGTATCAGAAATTCGTGGTCCTTCTCCTGTGTTTTTCTTTTGCAAAGATCATGGCTGCCCAGCATGGATGACCCATTTATAAACACCAGGTGCTCCTCAGAGGCACGACATTTCCCCCAAGTCGGACCCATTATGAACCCACAGCCATACCTAAACATTTCTCAATCCTACCTTTATCATGAGCCTGTACTCCCTCTTAAGGTATGGGTTTCCAGTCCACCTTAATCAAACTGTGAAGTTCTGGGTGTATGTTACAGGGCCACCGTTTATTCTCTTCCACTCTTCAACCTACTCTGCTAAACGCCAGGGTGTCTGTGGGTACAAAGACAAATGATCTGTGACCTCTTACTTTGCGATGGTCTGAGAACCAGGAAGTCTGTGTCCTATCAGTGTGATAAAGCTGGGCCTGGCAGGGTTCTTTGACTCTGGCTGCTTTAATTCTAACAGAATTGGGGAGGAGGGCAGGGAAGGCCTCACAGAAGGAGTAACACTTGACAGAAGAAAGTTGAAAATGAAAAGAAGTTTCCCAGGTAGCTCTGGGCTGACGGTGCTTGGTGGCACGTGACATAGGTGTGGGAGCAAGCGCTCCCTAGGGCTCTTCTACTTGTGAGGACTGGAGCTCTCTGGGGTGGCTCACAAACAGGTGGAGAGGAGTGTTAGGGATGCAGGGAGGCTCACAGGGACCCTGGGATGTGTTATGCACTTTTTTGTCACTGTGACCACTGACAAGAACAACGTTGAGGAGGGAAAGTTTATTTA